AGGAGACAATTTTCTACTTGAATGTTTGGCACAATGAAAAATGCAATTTCTACTCATGAAGGGTATGATCACAGAATAGTGGGGTTTGGAAGGGACTTCTGGAGATCATCTTGTTCAAGCCCCCTGCTAGAGCAGCTACAGCAGGCTAGCTGTAGGATAGCATCCAAGTGAGTTTTGAAGAAAGAAGAGACCCCAGAACCTCTCTGTGGAGCCTGTTCAAGTACTCTGTTACCCTCACAGTAAAGAGGTTTTTATTTATATTTAAATTGAACATCTTTCCTTGTAAGAGAGATACGCCAGCCCCCTAAGCATGTTCGTAGCCCTCTGCTGGACTCCCTCCAGTCGTTCCATGTTTTTCTTGAACTGAGCCCAGAACTTGACACAGTGCTCCTCCCAGTATGGCCTCACTACGACAGAGCAGAGGGGGAAGATAATCTCTCTCGACCTGCTGACCACACTGTTCTTAATGTACACTCAGGATACCATTGGCCACAGGGGCACACTACTGGCTCATGGTTAACTTGTCTACCAGGACTTCAAGATCCCTATCCACAGAGCTGCTTTCCAGCAGGTCTCCCCCTAATCTGTACTGGCGTGTAGGGTTATTCCTCCCCATGTGCAGGACCCTATTCTTGCCTTCGTTAAACTTATTATGTTCCTTTCCACTCAGCTCTCTAGCCCGTCCAGGTCTCGCTGAACGGCAGCACAGACTCCCTCATCAGCAGGCTTGCTGAGGGTACACTCATATATAACAACAAAAGCAAGCACTTGGGAGGATAAAGTTAACCAAGATTATTTTAAAGATGCCTACCCTGAGAAGCTGAATTTCAGCTGTTCTGTGGTGACAAACTTGTGGCATTTATGAAACTTTCCTGTTTTGCCATAAGCATCCATGGGACAGTTCTTCCACCCGTCGTTTACCTCACCTCGTTTATTAAGCTTCTTTCTTTCTGCTAAATGTAGTTTTGTCTTCTGACTGCAAAACTAACAGTGTAGCTCAGAAGGTATTATCGTCCAAGCCAAACACTGGCTGCTGTCTCGGGTCAGACAACTCCAGCAACGACAGCAGCACTTCCTCTATAATCTTGAAGCTAGAGGTCCTGCAGGCCGGGAGAGCCTGGCAG